CACCACGCTGGCTTCTTTTCGCCAGCATTTCAAAATGCTCAAGCCCTTCCTTCTAAAAAATATGCAACACACCCCGCCCCCCTCTGACCTCCCTGTGCGTTCCCCTCCTTGGCCAGCCTTCTCACTGGTGCACGCTCTTGCCGTCTCTGCCAGTCGCCTCCCAGCCCCCCGCCCACGGCGGCCTGCTCTGGTGCTCCAGTCGCCACTTCCTCCAACGTCACGTCCCTCCTGTGTCTGCTCCCTTGCACCCTGGGCTTGCTCTCCCCATTTGTCACACCCGAAAGCATGTGATGAAAGCCCGTTGTTCCTGCTGGACTCTGGCTCATCAGAGCAGGGCCAGCATGCACCACGCGGTGGGCACACGGCGCTCGGGTCTGAGCCTGGGCGAGGTGAGCGCCCCGCTCCCAGACGCAGCCTTGTGACCCGGCCTTTAACACCGTCCTGTTGGCCAGTCACGCTCCTCAAACTTCCTGCTCGCCATCCTTCCCCTCGTCCCTTCAGTGAGTGTTGGGATTGCGCACCATGCACTTGGCATTGGTCCGGAGCCCAGGGGGACAGAGGCCACTGAGATGCGCGTCCTGAAGGGAAGTGCCCCTTAGTGCAGGAGGCGGACGTCGGAGGATTTGAGATGGCACCATCGCCATGTTAGAACGGAGCTGTGTGATGGAAGTGTGCTAACTCAGTAAGACGGCTGGGGGCCGCCCCGAGGGCGGCGTCTAAGTGGACCCCCAGGCCGGGGACCGCGGATGGTGGAGGACGGGGAGGAGGGCCCCAGCAGCCCAGCAGGGAGGGCTCGCCCGGCCCCTGCCAGCTCTCTCCCTGCACACGACAGCCGCGCCCTCGCCTGCCGCCCACGCGCAAGAGCCGGCTCCCAGGCTCCGACCTCCATCCCAGCCCTGTTTTTGGTGGCCTGGAGACGCCCATCCCGAGATGCTCTGCTTCTGTGAGGACACCACCCAGGTACTTGAAGTTAGTGTGACCCAGAGAACTTCTGTCACTAAAACCACCGCCCTTCATGTGATTCTAAGTAACCATGTTTGCACTATACACCGTCCACTGAAGCTAGGAACAAGGTCACCACGGGCCCCTTCTCTCCCCTCTCACTACCGATTCTCTCAGCAGTCCTGGCTGAATTTCCAAAGGACACTGCTTCAACGTGGCCCACGTCTTGCGCCCTGGTAGCCACTACTCGTCGGTCTGACGCTGATGTCTCCATCAGGACTACCAAGGCCTCCGCCTGCATCTCTGTCCCCCTCTGCCCTCTGCCGCACTTCAGGTGGCGCCTAGCGCTCTGCGGTCACGCCCCAGCAGCCTCCCGCAGCCAGCACACGAGGCACGGCCCAGGAGCTGTGGGCCGGCAGGCGCCCCCAGGCCCAGGCCCGGGGTCCTCGGCCTCCCGCCTCTTCCACCACATGGTTCCCTTGGCCCAGAGTTGCCTTCCTCTATTTTTTTTTTTTTAGTTTCACACCCCTATGTCCTAATCATCTGCCAGTTCTCAACCACAACGGCACTGTGTTCAGATACACTTCTGTTTTAGGGACTTCTTTCTTTCCTTGTAGATTATCTTTTAAAGCAGTTTGAAGTCCATGGCAAGCTTGAGCAGAAGACACAGATTTCCCAGACGTGCCCTCAGCCCACAACCCTCCCCCTCCATGTCACCGTCTGCCATTCCTTACAAATGGTGGGCCTACAGTGACGCATCAGTATCATCCAAAGTCCCTGCTTTACGTCAGGGTTCACTCTCGGTGCTGCATATTCCGTGGGTTTAGACAAATGTGTGATGACGTGTATCCGCTGTGACAGTATCGTATGGGGTAGGCGCACCGCTCTGAAAATCCTGTCTTCCTCCAAGCCTGGCGACAGCCAACCTTGCTATCGTCTCCATAGTTCTGCCTTTTCCAGAGTGTCATATACTTCATACAGCATGTAGCCTTCTCAGAGTGGCTCCTTTCATTTAGTAACGTGCAATTAGGCTTCCTTTATTTCTTTCCATGGCTTGATAGCTCATTTCTTTTTAGTAGGAAATAATAAATAGTCCATTTTCTGGATAATTCATATAAACGAATGGGTGTTTTTTCTCCATTACTTACTGAAGTACCTTGGCTGCGGCGTCCAAGTTTTGGCAATTTTGAATAAAGTGTCCATAAACATTTGCATGCAGGTGTTTCTGTGGACAGAAGCTTTCTCCTTTTTTGGGCAGAGAGACGTATGACTGCTGAATCGGATGGAGCCAGACAGAGCACGTCTGGCTTGGTGACAAGCGCCGACCTGTCTGTGTGCCGTTCGGCACTCCCGCCAGCGACCGGCGAGAGCGCCGTTGCGCCGCACCCTCGCCAGTGCCCGGCCTTGTCGGTGTTCTGGATGTGGGGCCTCCAACGGGCACGTGGCAGTTTGTCCCTGTTGCTTCAGTGAGCTCTTCCCGGAAGACAGTGGAGCCCTTTTCACGCGCTTTTTTTCCATCTGTGTATCTTCTTTGGTGAGGTGTCTGTCCAGGTCTTTGGCCCCTTTCTGAATAAGGTCGTTGGTATTCTTACTGGTGAGCTTTAGGGCATCATGCATACCTTAGATAAGAGTCCTTTATCAGCTATGTCTGGCGCAAGTATTTTCTCACAGTCTGCGGACTCTCTTCGCGTTCTCTTGACCTCCCTTCCACAGCGGAAGTGGGTAATTTTATTGGGGTCCAGGTTATCGATTCTTTCTTTCACAGGTCAGGCCCCTGGTGTTGTATCTACAAAGTCACCACGATGCCCAAGCCACCTAGGTCTCCTCCTGTGCTACCTTCTGGGACTCCCATCGTTCTGCATTGACAGTGAGGCCTGCAAGCCCCTTGGAGCTCGTTTTTGTGCAGGCGTGAGGCCTACGTCGAGGGTTATTTTGCATAGGCAGATGTCAAGTTGCTCCCGCACCGTTTGCTGGAAAGGCTATCACTGTCCTACTGTATTGGCTTTGCTTGGATACACCTTTTTTATTCTTGTTTAGTCTGTTACAGTTGTCCCAATTTTCCCCCCTTTGCCCTCCACCCCACTCCCACAGTCAGTCACCACCCCATTGTCCGTGTCCGGCGCCACTCACGGAGACACTTTGTGAAAACCCCGATGGCCCCACAGTTTGGAGAACACACCCCTCCAGACGGTGACGGCCCTGTCGCCGGCTTACAGGAGCCCCGGCCCCCAGTGCCGGCCCCACACAGCGCTGGACAAGCCAGGCTCACGCCTGCCTCCTGTGCTTCTCTGGTCCCAGCGCCGAGGACACGGTTGGGGTAGAGTGGGTGCCGAGCAGATACGGGTTGCGCTAACAAGTACGTGACCTGTCCCTGTAGGTCACAGAGGGTCGTGCTTTCATCATTACTCCAAAACCATCTTTATTGGAGGAAAAATTGGTATAAAAATAGAAACAAAATCTGGAGTGGCACAGAGAACATCATGGTGAGCATTTTGGAGGTTTTCATGGGTTTAAATTTAAACAGAAATTTAACTACTTTCTATAATTCCAACTGCTTTCCTAACAAAAAACAAAACAAACAAAAAACAAAATAAAACCCAATCCCTACCACTGAGAAATAAAACAGCATCAAAGGCTAAAATCCTCTGATATTAGCAAATTTTCCATCCTTCTTCTTGTCTAACACAATAACTGTGATCTTAAGTGTTGAAGGTTCAAATCTGTTAACTCTTCAGAGAGTTACTGATGACAAGATAATTTAGTTTTTTACTTCACATTTGAAACAAATGAGCAAAGTTAGCATGCATGGGAATGGAGAGATTTCTATAACTGATATGACAATGGATATCCTGAGCAAAATTGTTTTCTATTTGTCTTTGCCTGAGGATGAATAGTAATTATTATCATTTCTGACAATAATAAAGTTTTATAAGAACTACAGTATATTATTATATAAACATATTTATGTTATTTAAAAACTGATATATTGCTTTGCAGTGAATGTAAAATTTAGTTAAATTTTTAGAGCTATATTATTATGACTAAGAGTAATTCAAGCCTTGACTATCTAAATGAGAAATATACAGTAAGATGAATTGTTATAACAGAGGCTATTTCTCAGACTATATAATACACTGATGGTAAAGACAATAATACTCAACTTATTTAAGTTACTTTAAAAAATTAGATTTCTATATATAAACTAATTTTCAAGGAATATATTGTAAAATATTGTTTCATGACAACCCCCCCCCCCACCTTGATAAAGGTAAGTTATATATACAGAAAGCATTATTTCCTTTTCGGTTTAATTGAATTTGGTTTGAAATTAAAAAATAAATAGATTATGCCAAATACTCAGTCATTATTCCCCAAAGAATACACTGTATCATAGAAGGAACTCAAGTTGCAGAGGCTGCAGGTCTTTGGCTGACAGAAGCTGCACATGTCAAAACGATGACAGCCACCTCTGTCTCAATGCATCCGCTGCCCGTAAAGTATCGGGGAAATCACAGTGAACAAATGTTTATAATAAAGAGAAAGATACAGTGATAGGTTCAAACATCATTTTACTTACAGCACCATTTTAACAACGGCATACATAAATTTCTAAGCAGGCGGCTATGCTTCCTATGTTTAATGTCCTTCACATTTTCAGCTGGACACCAGACAGCACAACGTGCTCGGGTAAAGCCCCTCTCCCATGAGCAGAGGCGGCAGCGCGGGGCTGCGCGGGCACAATACTGGAAACAGATGGGGCGGCAGATGGGGCCGCGGCCTGCGCTCCCTCGATCTGCGCGCGACAACCTCACCACTCCGTGAGGCGCGGCTCGCGGCCCGAAACCCTTCTAACGTCTGTCCCTTCATTTCCTACAGGCCGCCCCTAGAAATATTTTTTAACATTTTAAATTTTGTTCCTTTGCAATTTCTCTGATAAATTACTTAATTAAAACATATTTTTTCTTGCACATTTTTGGAACAGATGGTAGGAAAGAGCAGTTGTGCAGTGGAATCAAATGCACACTGACAAGTTGTCTAAAAATGGTAAAATTAATTACCTTCCTTCATTGATGAGTTCAATAAATGCAAGACCTGCGTTCTTCTGAATAGAATTCTGCCATTCCTGAAAGAAGAAACCAAACCAAGTGTCAGAAAAATGAGCATGTGAATGAAAGCAACATCTGGGTTAAGGGTCACGCTGATGCTGTTAATAACTTCCAGGTGACGGTATTTCTAAATCTTTTTTAAAAAAGTTAACAAATATTACTGTATTCCTCAGCTGAGAAGGTGCTTTTGAATTCCCACGCAACCGCAGGCTGGGTGCTGACTGAGCAAGACAGACAGGCCAGAGCCCACAGTCCCAGAGCCTGGGCACAGAGTGGCCCCTTCCGAGGGCCCGGGCGCCTCACGATGCGGCTGCGCAGGCACGAGACCCGTGTGCAAGAGAAGCTTTAGGCCCAGATGTAGAAAATTCTCGCTGAGATTTATAAAATAAAAATCAGAAGTGTAAACAACATATGTAGATTGATTTGGAAATCTAATTACGTGTGCAGCCCAAAGGACTGAAAAGTACGTTAGAAATGTGGCGTGATAGTAATTTCTTTTGAAATTAAAAAAATAGGAAACATTTATTACTGCAACTATATCCAAATGCCGCCTCTCTCTGCCGACCGAGGTCGGACCGTGTTCGTGAACCCGGCAGTTCCAGCTCCATCGCTCCTGACGGCCGCGGTTGCCGCGCGGCGCTTCAGGTTAGGAAAGCAGACCACTCGGGCTACCACCTGCCTCGCATGTTTGCAACATGCTTTAAATAGACTGTTTGGTTATTGCTTTACCCTGGTGATTTTAAGTGTTGGGGTCTTTTTAAATATACCTGGTAAATTGCAATTTTCGGATTAAAATGTGTATCCGTTTTAATAGCACTATAAATAAACGCTTCCCTAATAGAGTTTTATAAAAAAATTCTTAGTGATCACTTACGTTACCCACCTATAGAGATGCCCCCCCACCCCGCCCACCCCGTGATTTAATAATCGGAGGCCGTCCGCTCCGCCCCGACCTGGGCCGCGAACGCCCGGTGCTCCGCCCGACCCCGCCCTCCGTCCCCGACCACGCGCCCTCCCGGGGCTGAGCCAGAGGCTGGGACGCGTGCGTGTCCAAAAGCAGCGGCTTGGATGTGAAAGCGCTCCGCTCTGAGCGAGCCCGGGGCCCGCGCAGCAGCGCAGGTGAGAACCCGCACCCCCGATGCGCGGCAGCGGTGCGGCTGCGAGGTCGCAGGGCCCCAAAGACTCCATTTTTAGCAAAGCCGCTGCGTTTCAGCTACCGCACCTCTAAGGAAAGTTATCGGAATGACAAGGCTGTGAAGGTATTTTACAGAGCTTATTAAATCTTTCAGATCTTTTCTGTTGAAAAAATTATAGGGAACTCTTTGTCCTACATATTGACAAAATGACTTGTTATCAACCTCATGTATTTTGCCTATTGCCGTTACATATCCTATTTTACTGCAAACCAGTATCCTCCCAGATGTGCCAGTTTATCAGGAATACTTGACATTTACTGCGATGTCATCCTAAAGGGCAGATTCTTAGGTAAGAAGAACCATGTCGCTCTGAAGAATAGATTCTTACAATTTCTTGAAAGTGATTTCTTTATGATGTTGTTTGTACATTCAGGCTCCATATGAGTATAAACTTTAAATGTGAGTAGGATTTTTAAAAAGTTATTTCACAACATGTATAATCAGATATTACATAACGCATCCCAAATGATACTGTCTCTAAAAGATCACAGAGTAGAATGTTTGAAAAACTCTGTCCAGATCACACAAAGAATACCTGTAAGGGCCTTCGGCCCATGAGAAGTTCATCTGCAATCTTTATAGAGGAGCCGTAGCAATAAACCTGATCCACTCTAAGGGCATTTGCCTCACGGGAGGAGAAAGCCCACCAGAGCAGGTGACAGCCTTCATCCTGCAGATGAGTGTCGTCAAGGAGTAACCTGTCGTTTAGGAGCAACGGGACACAGTAGGGAATTGTCTTATAGGCCCTTCCAAAAGGAAGACAAGAGGCTAAATTCAAATTTTGAACATGGAAATGAAAACTAAGAGATATTACAAAGAAGAGCCGCCAGGACTGAGAAATTGTATTTAAGGGCCAAAGGAGAAGAGTGAGTCAAATAAGGTTATTAAGTTGTTAACATGGATGACAGAGAGAATGGTAAAATTATCATGAAAGTCCTGAAGAAGGATGCATATTTGGGGAGAATCATAAGGCTGTCTTCAGTTTACATTTGTTGGATTTAGAGTGATAAAGGCAAATCAAAAAGGAATGCAGAACTTGGAAATACTTAGATACAAATATTGGTTAAAGCACAGCATTGGGCAAGTCTCCAAAGAAGAATAAACAGAAAGAAGATCAAAGACCTAAGCTGATTCTTGGGAGCCAGTCGCATGTGTAAGATAAGAAAAAGGGGCAGTTGAAGCAGACAAGAAAAAAATCTCCCAGGATTTAACAAGAGAAGCAAAATCCTATAATATTATTCAAAAGAAAATAATCTACTGTCTACATTGGCTCAGGATAGAGGCGGCGAGACTCTCTAGTCACTCATATCATTTTTAATGATGAAAAAGTTAAATTTTCTTGTATGTGGAGTATAAAAGTAAAATACAGTAAACGACAATAAAGAAGGAACACTAAGACAAGACAACACACAATGGAAGAGCCATCATTCCACAGGGAGGAGAGGGCCACCTGCGGGCCGGGCCGGGCCAGGCTGCTGAGCTCCGCCGCCTCTCTTCCCAGCGCAGAGGGGCTGTGGGGCAGGGGCTGGGGGCCCGGGAGGCTGCGGCTGGGGCTGGGCTTGGAGCTGGTCCCAGCGCTCGTATGGGCCGGCTGTCCCCTGGGGCGAGGGCAGAAGCGGCTCTAGCTCCCAGGTTCGTTGCGGGGCTGGCTCTGGAACGGGCTCCAGCTCCGGGGCCCTCAAGAAGCCAGTGCCAGGCAATGGCGGACACCTCTGGCCCTGGCGCTGGCGCTGGCTCGGTGCCGTTGCTGGTTCTGGAACCGGTCGCAGCTCGAGCTGGCCCCGCTTCGGGCTCTGGGGCCAGGGCAGGTCCCAGAGTTGTTGAAGCTTAGCGCTGCCCCGGGGGGTGGGCCCATCCTGCCCTGGGGCTGGAGCTGAGAGGGAGCCGGCAGGAGCGCTGGCGTGAAAGCCACTGGCACCGTGCTGTCGTCACGACCTGTGATCCTGCGGCTGCCTGACACGAAGGACAGAGACCCAGAGGAGCAGAAAAGGAGAACCGGGAGCAACTACCACCACAAAGTACAGCACAAGAGGAGACCTGACGAGGCTGGGGCGGGGAAGCAGCAGGGACGTGGGCACTTAATCACAGTGGATACGCGACGCTACTGCAAACATTAAAAACAAAAAACAAACAAGCAAAAAAATGAAAAACACCAGAAGGCCCATTTGCTAGAAAAATGAAGCTGGAAAACTCCCAGAAAATAGGAAGGATGAGATGCAACCAAAAGATTGACGTGCAAGAAAAATAAGAGATAAAGAAATAAGGAAATGGGAGGACCTTCTGTGAAAAGCCCATATGCACGGGGTAGGGGTTGTGAAAGGGCGAACCAGGAACGCGGATGAGAGGAAATCCTCAAGGACATTTAAAATCTTCCCCAGGAATTAAACATATGAATAGGATGCTCAAGGAAAGCAGTGAAAACTACAATAGCATGAGAAAGGACAGAGAACCCATAAAAAAAAAAAAGAGACATAAAATCCCTGGAAAGGAACATCATCATGACATTGAGGGACAACCAGGGTCAAGGAAAAGGCAAACAGGGAGAAAAAGTTCATATGAAGAATCGAGAACTAACTGGAAGACAGAAGCAAATGGCGTCTTCAAAATCACGGAAACGTCATAACCAAACATGGAACCCAGCCCAACTGTTAACAAACAGGAAGGCAGAGGAGTTACACTTTCAGACTTGACTATAAACACTTAGTTTTCACCCACTTCTTTCAAGAACCTGCTGTGGATGAGCTCCGCCAAAACGAGGGAGCGTATCCCAAAGGCAGGACCCGGTGACGGGGTGCCAGCCCCCAAACCCCAGGGGCTCAGGTGACAAACACTCTTTCCTTCCGAAGCCCCGCAGCACCGCCCGCATGCGCCACCGGGCACAGTTCACCGTCAGAGACAGCCACGTCCCCGAGCCTTGGGAGGAGCCAGATGCCTACGAACAGCTCTGAACTTGAGCACAGGGGAAGACCCCGGACCGCGGTGGGCGCAGATCGACGAAAGGGCAGACCCGGCAGCGGTCCTGGGCGCAGGGGCGGGGCGGTGGGGACTCTCCACGGGACGCCAGCGGAGGCGCCTGGACGGCTGTCTCGCTCCGCAGGGTCTCCGAGAACTCCTGACAGGCGCTGTACCTAGAGAGGCTTTTAGAGCAGGTGGAGAGTTTGGAGAGCACTTAATGATAGCCATGTGGGCAACTTACCCAAAAAGCAAAGAGCAAAGAGGCAGCTAATTTCAGGAAATAAAAGAGCTGTTTAAGGAAAAAAGTGATGGCGGATAGTTAACGTACAAATGATATTTGCACGCAGGGACGCACTCGGAAACTGTTTGCAACAGCGAGCAAAAGCTGAGAAAGGAGGGGATGCCCCCCCACCCCCCCCTCGCCCCATGCCTGTCCTTTCAGCTCCCTATCTCTAATTGCATTACAAAGTCAGATGGGGATTCTTTTGCAATGAGGCAGCCAAAGCCTCAGGGTTCGGACAGAATAACTTGGAACACAGCTCTGGTCCGCCCCCCACCCCAGTTCTTTAGTGCGGGTGGTGACAGCGTTGTGAGAATAAAATGCTAAAATAAAGTCAACATGTAGAGAAACGGAGAACCAAGGGTGCTGCCGCAACAAGTCTGGACGCAAAGTAGTTGCCTCAAAGTGGGTCTCGGGGCCGAAGCAGAGGCCTGATTTCTGTTTTGCTTTGTCTTTAAGCTATGTACAGAAATTTTTTAATTCTCTCAGAAAATAAACTTTCCCTTTTCTAACAGTGTTAGACGTACGCGACCATTGCAACCCTCACACAGTCCCTGTGAAGATCAGGAGCCCCGCACTGCGCGCA